CCACCCGGGCGGGCGCCACCCCCCTCGCCGACCCCGGTGCGCCCGCCGGGCGGAGACTGCCGGGACCGAGGGTGCGCACCAGAGATCCGCGAGGAACGCTGAGTGAACCAGAGGCGCCGGCGGCGAGGCTCAGAGTCGGCGGGCGCCCCCCATCCCTCTCCGGCCGCCGCGCTGCCTCACTCGGGGGAGGGGAAGAGGGGGCGGTGGCTCTAGCCTCCGCCTCGCGGTCAAGTCCGGCTCATGTTCCAGCCTTGTGCGCGCGCGCGCGCGAAGCCCAGCCACGCTCCTCCTTTCCCCCCGCCTCTGGCTCAGCCGCTGGCGTGCCCGTCGCCGCCACCTCAGCCCCGAGCCACCCGCCACCAGCCCCAAACAGCCAGCAGCCTCAGCAAGCAGCAGCAAGTACGGCAGTAACTCGGCCGCCGACCCGGAAGCTCTTCCGCCGCCAACCGCGAGGCTGCCAGGAGTGTGAACCCGGAAGCGGTTTCCTCGCCCCGGTAGCGGCGGGATGGAAAGCTAGGGCCTTTGAGGATCTGGAACCCTTTCGTTTCGGGAGAGTATGAGGGGTGTTTGGTGCTGAGGTGCGAGGAGAGGGAAGGACAATAAAGAGCCCGTGGGCAAGAGGCTATTCGAATCCAGACACCTGAGCTCTTGAAGCGCGGGGTGGGGAGCGCGACCGAACACGCCGGGCAGCTTCTGGTGGCGAGTAAGAGGTTTCCTGTCACAGGAAGTTGGGCCTGGCCTCTGGGAAATAGAAGGGAAGGAGGAATGAGAAAGCGGTGACGGTCCCCTGCCCCCCAGGTGGCTGTCCGACCCAGTGAGTTGAATGTAGCGACCTGGGAGGTGCTCGGCCGCCCGCAGGGGTGAGACGAGGAGCAGCAAGATCCAGACTCCGGCGAGAAAACAGAGGTGGGAGGCTGAACTATCTCGACATCTAGTTTCTCCAGGCAAGGAATTTATTTCTTACAGGCAGTTACAAAGAAGCCAAAGCCACATTTTGGGTGGCAGCTCTTTGAGCAAAGAGACACATCCTTTCCTGGTGGTGGACGGTGATAGGTGGGGAAGGAAAAACGTCCTCAACAGTATTTACTTTTATCATTTCAGGGAAAGCGGTTCACAGCATGTATTTCCAACTCACTTCTCCTCTCTACATCTCTGTCTGTCTTTTGGCTTGCTTTCTTAGCTGTTTCTCCCCTGTGCTTGTAGCTTCACCAGAAATATTTGATCTCGCTGACCGGACTCAGGATCTCGCTTCCATTTCCTCTGACTCTCTTGGAGAGCTTATGTGTCTTCACAGTTTCTCTCTTCATCTCCAGTGTTTTAACTGCTTTGATGGCCTCATTTTATTTGGGAGAGATATCACAAACTCAGAATGTTTTCGTAACAATATAAAAACAAATAATTCATTCCGTGATCTTTTTCCCTTAACCTCATGTTAATGTATTAGTTGGTTCCCCCTTAGAATTGGGTTATAGAACTAAGGTAACAACTGATATGTAGCATATTTAGATACACTACTGATGAAATCATGCTCCCTAAAATAACCTCATTAAATGTACTTGTTCATTATAGGAATTCATTTGGTTCCCAGTTTCAATTATTACTTAGTTCCTTCTCTGTTAGCTAAACTTAGTACAATTGTCTTCAAAAGCGTTTGAAGATTATTAAATATCTTAAATTGCAGAATAGAATGTCGCTTAATAAAGTTGTAAAATTATGGGTGACGCTTGTTGATACTAATATGTGACAACTGGTAGAATTGGTTGAAGGGACAAAGAAAGCAAGCTGAGTTAAAAGAAGCATTGCTATTTTCTCTTATGCTTTTTATTGCTTCCTCTCTGTTTATTAGCATAAACCAATTTAAGTAGCAAAAGATTGAGGTTTTTATGGTCAAAAATCCCCGTAGGGGAATTCTTATTGATACTTAGTTGTCATCTTTTCTCTTTAATGTTATAATGCTTTAAAATTGTGGATTTGTTCCAGGAAAATGGGGAAGTGGGAAGTAACTTAGCCACTCTTTTTTTCTTCTGTAAAATGAGAATAACAGTAATACCTACATCATCAGGTTTGAGGAAATAAAATGAGGGTATATGTATAGCACTTAGCACAGTATCTAGCACATAATAAGCAATAATGCAGTAAAGCAATAACACCTATAAAGGTGTTAGTCATATTTTAAAAGCACATGAAGTGTTATATTTAGAAAATGAAAGCAATAAAAACTTAAGGACAACTTGATAAAACCGTTTTGGCTGGTGGAGATAAAAAAAATGCGTTTTATCAGTGATTTTCAACTACGTGGACAATAAGATTTTTTGGTTTGGTTATTTGAAATGGGTATGGGTTTTAAAAGTTTGAAAAACGGTGTTTAAAAATGGAGGAAAGGGGATCATTTTCTGTCTCAGGAACATATCACAGAGCCCTAAAAGAACGTTCCATTTTTTGGTTTTTATTTATGAAGATACATACACTTTCTGATCATTTTTGGTAATTACTATTAGCATGCACTTTGCAAACTGGTAAATCATCCTGTTGACTCTGACTTCTGATACTAAATTTATCATACCCATATTCACATACCAAATCTTTCTTCATTGCAAAAGTGTTTTTAAGTTTGTTCATGTGTACTCAATATAGCAGATGTTTCTTATTAAAGACACTGGAATTTTGTTAACCAGGACTGTCTAGCACAGTAAAGAGATGTTAACAAACCTGCCCCTTGGAGACTAAATGGTATTTGTACACCTCCCCTCCCCTAGTCATAGTGAAAACCAGAAATGCCCCTACATATTTTCAAATAATCCCAGGTAGGTACTTTTTGGGTAGCAGCTCTTTGAATAAAGAGGTATGCATGTCTTTCCAAGTAGTGGATGTTGATGGGTGGTTCCCCCAATTGAGAACCACTTCTACATATTCGTAAGGTCTTATTACTTAGGCAGCATATCATCATTTATACCTAAGCATTTTCCAGAGTAGAATGAGCCGCATAACAAAATGTGGCTCATACTTAGTAAGTTGAACCTTATCTAAAACTCAGTTTAAACATGTTTCAAACTCTATACCTTTCTCTATTATTTCTAGCTAAAATTATTCTCTTCCAATCTCTTTGCATGTGTTTCTGCCTTAATAGTTTTACTCTCATATATTAGTAGCTTTTATTCTTTTCCTAACTTAAGCCTTTGTTTTCTTCTTTCCTGTCATTAGAAGTATGTATATTTCAAACATTCAAGTATGAATATTTCTTGAAAATCAATTTCTAGAATCTTTTGGGGGTATGTGAACAGTAAATGATGTAAAAACAAAATACTATAATCTTCATGGTTACGTCTTTTTTATTACATCACATGTTTATCTTTTAAAAGGTGAGTGTACAGTGCAATACTATCCTAGAGAAGTGATGGCATTGATAAAGAATTTAGCAGTAGGTTTTTTTTAAAATATAAGTTGACTAGCACAGGAATCGATTTGCTTTAAATTGTGTTTAGAAAACTAACAATTACTTGATTTCTCTTTTAGGTGCTTAATAGAAAAAGTGTTTATGTAATTGTGCCATATATGTTATACAGTATATACACAATACTCTTTTTGGCGAGGGGCTTGAAGTCTTCAAGCAGGCATCCAACATTTAATAATCTGTGAAGTTTTATTATCTTGAAGTCATTGTTAATCTGAGGTGAAAAGTAGTTGCTAAGTAGAAATTTTGAGAAGAAAAAGGCCTCATCAATTTCACATACTATAGGAAGCTCTGCTGCAAGGGGTGGGCTTCAAGAATGATCTTATGGAAAACTATACTGAAAACAATTCCATCAGGTATACAGTGGGAATAAATGATGTGTCCTCAAAACAAATGTCTCAATCCTAAAGTTTTACTCTAGTTTCACTGGATCTAAATCAATGAAAATTTTTATAATTCAAAATAAAATAAATTTTAAAATCAATTATTTAAATAATTACAATTTTTGTGTATAGTAATTTTAATGGTTCTAATGTTTACTTAAAATGCCAAAAGCTACTGAATTTTAAAAGAATTTCTTTTTAAGGAAATTTTCCAATTATAAGGCTTTTTCTTTCTATATAGGGAATTGAATTAAAGGTTCCAAAATGATTTTAATTGCAATTGGGAAAACAATAAATTCCTCTGCCTCCTCTCAAGTGACAATCAAAAACCTTTCTCGAAAATGATCTCCTTTTTCCTCTCTATGAGAGTTGAAACAATAAGGAACTCATTAAATATGAACAGATCATTTGCATGTTTAATGGGCTTTAAAAAAAATTGAAGTTTTATTTCAACATGGCCGGGAAACTTATTGTTTTATATTCTTTTAGAACTGTTCAGGCATGTAGATGAGAGGAAGCTTTTTTTAAAGATAAATAAAATATATTCAGTACAAGAGATGCATTTTAGTCTAGTCACACACACACACACACACAAATAATAGCACTTAATGAGATAGAACTATTAAACAACCAAGAGAGTGTTTGAAATTCACTTATTTGTCAGAAATTACCCGGTGCAAATTTAAAATTAGTCTGGGAAAGTGCAGATACATGTATGTATGTACATGTTATATGTTGGAAGAAAAATTTCGTATTATCTAGGGCATTGATAATGGAAGTGAAAAATATTCTTATATCTTCATCAGAAAGCTTTTATCAACTGACCAGATGTTTTTAACTGTGATGGGCACCTCCAAAGAAAATTATAAACTATACTTTAGCTCATCCAAATGTCACATACCAAAGTTCTCTAAAGATTTGGGAGAGAACGTTAATGGCCACTACCTAGTTCCAGCTTCCAAACAATTAACAATATAACATTCATGTGTGTAATTTATGGAAAATAAGTGTTTATTCTGAATAACTATTTTGACTCAATATTTACTTAGTATTTACAAGACATTTTTATAATTTTATCACTTTTTTTAGGTACAGAAGGCAGATTTTTATGCAGTTAAGACTTCTGAAAGTATGTATTCCCATTAAATTTTTTTTTTTAACTTTTAATAGAAAAGGAAAAAAGATCTACAAGGAAGTCTTAAGTTATAAGCTAAGGTTTTGAATAGTTCAGTGGTAAGATATATCAGTCATCTCGGGCTTGCCTTTTAGGTAGTATATTACTGAGATAGAACAATCAACATTTAGTTGTTTTACAAAGTGATGATGTGTCCTTTAGTCTTTCAAGGAATTCCTTTGTTTGTTTGTTTTATAAAGCGATGGGAAATCCAGAAAACGTAGAAGATGCATACGTCGCTGTTATTCGTCCAAAGAATACTGCCAGTCTAAATTCTCGGGAATACAAAGCTAAGTCATATGAAGTGAGAACAATTTACTAACATTTGCTTTGCTACCATTGGATGTCATTCTCCGTTATCATTTTCATTTACATAATAGTCTTACCATATCCTGTAAATTCTTGTTGACAACCTAGATCTTGACAAGCTAGAATTGATAACCCTAGATCTCTGTCCATCACTGTCTTTTTTTCTGCAGCATACTTTTTGACCATTTTTCTATTCATTGATTTAAGTTATTAGATATTAAGAGGTACTTGTTTGAGTTCTCCTTATAATTTATAGATTTAGTTTTTAGTATAATTTATGGAATGGCTCTTAAAAATTAAAAAAATTTGGTGAAAGTCAGTTTATTCAAATTATATTCTAAATGTTGTTTTTCATTATTTTCTCAAAGAACTATTTTTAACAGTTCACTAAAAATATCTTTTTACATTTAAGTTTTAGGTGATTAAGTTCTCTGTAGTCTTCAATTATTTTACATAAATTAATAAGTATGATTAAGGCAAAAAACAGCAAACAAACCAGAATTGTTATCTTCTCTATGCAACACATTCCAAACATCATAAAATAATTCTAATCTAATGTAACTCCAGCTAATTTCTGTAGCATTTTGCTTAAACTGCTTTTTAAGGTTATCTGAAACTTATTAAAGGGTATTGCAGGGATTCTTAGGAGGCTGCTGCTTTAGCAGTGCTCTGACATACTGGTTATTAATTCTGGCTGCACTGTTGAATCACCTGGGTAACTTTAAAACTTCCAGCGTCAATACCCTATTTCTTAGACATTTGATTTAATAAGTCTGAGATGAAACTGCATTGATATTGTTGTAAAAGCTTCCTAAGTTATTCTAATATGCAGCTAGGTTTAAGAGACTGCTGGCTTATGTTCTAGGGCAAATAAATTTAAACTTTCTCTTAATGTTATTTTTCTCATCTAAGATTTTGTTGCATGAAGTTCCTATTGAAGGACAAAAAAAAAAGAGAAAGAAAGTTTTGTTGGAAACTAAACTTCAAGGCCACAGTGAAATAACACAAGGCATATTGGATTATGTAGTAGAAACCACGAAACCAATTTCTCCTGCAAACCAGGGTATCAAAGGTAGGAAACTTTTCTTTCTTGTCTTGTCTTGTCTTTCCTTTTCTTTCTAACATAGTTTGCTTTAAATGCTTGTGGCGAAAGACATTTAAAAATATATTAAAATCAGTTTCTTTTGTGTTCCTTTCCATTGACTCCAAAATTTTTTTAAGGTACAGCCAAGCCTCTTTCAGAAGTAACCTGACTTTAATTTTTTTTTTAAGTTGAAAAATATTTAAATAAGTCACAGTGTTAATGATTTATTCGATAGAGAAAGGAAAATCAAAGGGTGGCTTGAAAACTAAGAGTACAAACTACTTTTGCTAGAAGTATAGTTTCCTAGGTAAGTATCTTTGAACTATTTTTATTTCTGTACTCCAAGACAGAGGAAACTATAAACCTCTCCATAACTGAATGAAAGTTAAGATTCATGGGTTAGAGAGAGTCCTGTAAGTTACCAGGTAGCCAAAGTTTTCTTCTCATTTGCTCACAAAAAGAAAACCCTTTTCAAAGAAGCAAACTGAATTACAGAAGTATTAACCTTGGAAAGGTTGAGACATCATTTAAAATGTTAGATAATGACTCACCAATGAAACTGATTAAAAATGCATGGTCAGTTTTCTCAGGCCATAACCTCACAAGCAGCAGATAGTAGAAGTTACAGAAATTATAAACTGTGTCCAAGGCTAAGGCATTACCAATTGAAAAAGTAAAGCTAATTCCAGTCAAACAGCAGTTGAAACAGTTGTTAGTGAGGTAAACCATACCTCTCTCTTTTTTTATTTTTTTTAAGCTTATTCAGTGTTTTTTCTGTTTGTTCATCTTTAAAGAGATTAGTCATCTAATTCATCTGTTTCAGTACAGAGACTGTTTTGTTGCAGAAATAAGGCTGAATCCTGTGATTTGATTTATTAGTTATTTCGGATATTTGTTCTCTAGAGATCTTTGGTATAATTCTGAGTCTTACAAAGAGCATCTCCTTTCTTTAATTATCAGATTGCCTTTTAATGAAATGATCTAGAGATCTTAGCTAAAAAGGAGACTATCCTTGTGGTGTTGAAGACATGTGAAGGCTCTGTTTGGGTGCCATAAATTTGTCAATCTTTTCTACAGTCTTAGACTTCTCTGATATTTTCATCCAGACTTGTTTTACTATTACTAAATTGTTAAGAGTTATCAGGATCTATCCTGAGATCAGATTCTTGAGACAAGTCTGATTAACCCAAATCACATATTTGAGCTGATACAGAGAAGTCATAATTTGCTATGAATTAGCCAAACTCTACCACTCAGTCCGTTCACCAAGAAGAAGGGATATAAGTAGTGTCAGTGTTAACAAAAATGTCCCCTGGCCCAGAGGGCTGGGTAGTTTCTCTTAGAAGTTTATGAGTGGATAGGCACCCTGAAACATGTCTACCACAATTATGCCTTATATATTTAGTAAAATGTAATAATACTTTTTCATGTAGCTTTTAATAAGAGAAATTAAAATAGAGAAGTTTTACTTAACTAAATAGACTGTTATATTAATGAGCCATACCATATCCTGACTATCTTAGTTGAGTTTTTCTAAATAAATGAATTATTTTTATAGAGTAATATGATTCCTCATATAAGCATCACATGAAAATCAGAAACTGACTTTATATAGCAGTAGTTATGCCTTACCTTTTTGTGCAGTGCTATTTATAATTTAGGAAACACTACCACTCTTACTTATTCATGAAATTCTTAAATTGGTTCCGGGAATTGGTATATGGTCATTCTCATATCTATAAAATGCAGCCATAGGTTGTCAACATACTAAAATAATATTCCCATTAGTGGAGGAGGTAAGACTAGAACCCTCATTCCCAAATTTGTAGTCAGTGCTATTATTTTTTCCCCCACAACAGATACAGTTACATCTATAATTTGCAAAGTAGCCAGTTAAACAATGGATCAGAACTGAGTTTGGGGAAGCAGCAAGATAAAAGTGGGACAAGACCTCAAGCCAGACAAGAAATATTGCCTCTAAAATATATTAGACTGTTATTCTGTATCTAACATTTCTATTTTATATGTGTCCATTTTGTAAAATAATTGTTTAGGGGCTATAATAATAATGGGCCATACTAATCACAAATGTTGACTCCACTATTTTGTGAATAAGTGAAGCTGCTTGAACTCTCATATTATCTATCTGCTCACAGAAAGCATCCAGCCAGGCATTCCTACCTCAGTCATGAAAAAGGTTCTGTTTCTTAGGGTGAGGAGATTGGAAGAGTTGATAAAAATCATGGCAAAGATACCTAGAAGTTGAGAAGTTTTAGAATATAAGACTTGTAGGTTATCAGATTATGGTCCCCTTGCTGCCAAATCAGGAAAAACAGACTAAGAATGGTGGTTACAATTCAGAACGATAGTCTATAGCTCAACCAGATTTTAATAAAAACTGAAATTGAGAGAGGAGGTTAAAGATTAAATGAAGAGATGCTAAACTTTAAGACTTTGCAACTTATATATACCACCCTTCTTAGCCAGCTTAAACTATAGTAAAATTCTTACCATCTACATCCCCACGGAACAAAGAAGTATATACCTTTTGACCCAGCAAGATGCCTTGCTGTTCAGCCGCTCTGTCAGTCTTTAGCAGGACAGTTTTCCTTGTTGTGCATAGGAAGCTTGTCTTAAAGTATGTCAAGACCGGGACCATGTGTCTACTGGTTCATTGTCCACAGAATGAATATTATCAGAATTATCAGTTTTTATTAGGGCATAATAAAATTGACTATTTTTAGATTTTAATTCCTCTTAATGCTGCCTTTTAATTTTTTTTCTGAAGGAAATTTATAAAATTTAAAAGCCTATTATTTTTATCTTTACTGACTTTTTAAAAAATGATTAGGAAAACGAGTGATACTGCTGAAGAAATTTCCTCTGGATGGGGAGAAGATGGGCAGAGAAGCAGCATTGTTTATCGTTCCATCGGTTGTCAAAGGTAAAGTCTAAGTTTTATCTTACAAATCTTTTTGTGCCTTAGATGCTAACTCTATTGAGGAATTTAGGAATTTGCATTCATAGTTACTACTATAATACTGTTGTAAAATACATGTTTTCAAATGAATAGAAAATGGAGAAATTAGTTACTTAAAGATGTTTTGATTTCAAAGTAATATTCAGGCTTCTGGACTGAACAGTAATGTTTCTGTTTCTGTTTTTGAAAGTAGGATAAAGAAGTGAGGAGGGAAGCCATAATTGAAACTAAAAGTTTTCAGGTTATAATAAGGGATTTTTTAAAGGATATTCTGTAGATAGAATAGAAATAGATATTTAAGTATTTTGGAAAATTAAGAGATTGTGATCAGGACCTATCTTGTATTTGGAACAGGAAAGTATCAATAATATTTCTAAAATACTCTGTCCAACAATGGTAACTATTTAAAGAACTTATATCTAATATGAAAATATATTTGAACCTTTGACATCTTGGAATAATAGAAAGGTATTGAGTTTCAGTGCAGACCTTGCAGCCTGCTAATTTGTGGCCTTGTGCAAATCACCGCTTTAAGCCTCAGCTATGTATTTGTAACATGGGTATCTGCTCTTACTTGGTGCATCTTGCAGGAAGTTTTCAGTGAGGTATTAGATACGAAAATCACTTTGGAACCTATAGAGTACTAGCCTCATGTAAGGCAGCAATAACACTGACTGTATATTAATGATCTGCTGTGGACATCCCATTGGCCTGCTGCGACACAGTACTTATACATATTTTATTAGCCAACTCTAGCATTCCTGATATACTTTTTTCCCCCAGCCATACTTAGGTGAAAAATTTCAGTAATAATCAGCTGAGAAAAAGAAAGAGGAAATAATTTCTTCAATTCTCTAAGGTTCTAAATGGTACATTCACCCAAATAGATAAAGTCATAGAATGGGCCATTACTTGAATCCAGGTCTTCTAATACCAAATCTAAAACAATATAAATTTACTTAACATTTGTTTAACATACTGTATATTTTTAAATAAAAAACATGCAGTTTTTTATATGATTTGTATGATGGCATAATTCTTCATTTTTCTTTTTCAGATAATACTAAATATACATATACTCCAGGATGCCCAATTTTTTACTGCTTACAAGATATTATGCGAGTCTGTAGTGAATCCAGTACTCACTTTGCTACACTTACAGCAAGGATGTTAATAGCCTTGGATAAGTAAGGACTGCCATTAAAAATATTTATAGTAAATCAAATACATGTTAATAGTAGAAATTAGTTCTGATAGATACCAACACTTAGGAAGAAAATAATGGAATAAATAATATGCATATATTAATCAATTATAAGTTTTTTAAAAATTAAATTTAGATAACATCAGTTAATAACGTTATATACATTTCAGATGTGCAGCATTAGAATTTGATATCTGTATACTCTCTTGTGTGCTCAGAACCCAAAGTCTCATTCCCTTCCCATATCATATATTCGACTCCCTTTAACCAATTTACCTTCCCCCTACCTTCCTTCCCCTCTGGTAACTACCATTCTGTTGTCTGTATCTATAAGTTTGGTTTTGTTTGTTTTGTTACTTTGTTACTTTTTGTTTTATATTCCACATATGAGTGAAATCATAGTTTTTGGTTTTTTTCTCTCTGACTTAGCATAATTCTTTCAAGAGCCATCATGTTGTCACAAATGGCAATGTTTTATCGTCTTTTTTATAGCTGAATACTATTCCATTGTGTGTGTATGTGTATATGTACACACACACCCCATATCTTCTTTTTCCATTCATCTGTCTATGAACACTTATGTTGTTTCCAGATCTTGACTATTGTAAATAATGCTTCAATGAACATAGGGGTACAGATATCATTACAAATTAGCGTTTTCATATTTTAGGGGTAGATACTCAGAAGAGGAATTGCTGGATCATTTGGTAGTTATATTCTTGATTTCTTTAAGGAACCTCCATGTTGTTTCCATGGTGGTTGCACCAATTTACATTCCCACCAACAGCATACAAGGGTTCCCTTTTCTCCACACCTCTCCAACACTTAATTCTTGCTTTTTTGATAATAGCCATTCTAACAGCTGTTAGGTGATATCTCATTGTGATTTTGATTTGTAAGAAATGGTAAGTTTTTGAAGTATAATATAAAAATGAAAAACTCCAAAGACAGGATTGTCCTTGTTTGCTTGCAACATGTTAATTTTACCTTTAAAAGTTACAAAGATTTCTTTGGCTTAATTAAGATTCCTTTGTTATAAAACTAGATTTAATATTAAGTTACTCTTCTCAGTGAACAAGTTGTTTAACCTATCATGTCTTTGTCTTTCTGTAATAACAGAGCTAATGTACCTATATCTCAGTGGTTTAGATTTTAAAAGCGCTTCATGTTTTTTCAAAGGGGTTTTTATTATTATAATGGTATGTGCATTTTTAAAAGTAGTTTGCTATGTCCATTAACAAAACTTTTATTAATAGTAAATGAAATATGTAACCAACACTAATTAAAATTATAAAAATCTGAATATTAGAAAATATCACGTATCAGAATTGGATAGTAGTCTTAACTTTTTTCTACCTTCACTTTTGAACAAATATTTCTACTATCACTTTCTATTTTGCCAGGTGGTTAGATGAACGTCATGCACAATCTCACTTTATTCCAGCTTTATTCCGACCTTCTCCTCTGGAGCGGATAAAAACTAATGTCATAAATCCTGCATATGCTACTGAATCGGGTCAGACAGAAAACTCACTACATATGGGCTATAGTGCACTCGAAATAAAGAGTAAAATGTTAGCCCTAGAGAAAGCAGACACCTGTATTTACAATCCTTTGTTTGGATCAGATCTTCAATACACAAACCGGGTAAGAGTTGAAGGAATTTTGGCTCTGATTTCAAAAGACATTTCATCTCAAATGTAATTTTTTTCCCCTGAGATAAATGCATCTGTTACTAATTGTAAACATTAAGGTGACACCCATATTTAGCTCTATCTATATATATTAGAGTCAAGTATCTAAAGCTCTTATGGGTTTTTTTGTTTTGTTTTCCTTTTCTAGGTCGATAAAGTGGTAATAAATCCATACTTTGGTCTAGGAGCTCCAGACTACTCTAAAATCCAAATTCCCAAACAGGAAAAATGGCAAAGAAGCATGAGCAGTGTCACAGAAGACAAGTACTATACTTATATTCTGATATTATAATAATGTAAAATGATATATTCACTTTGTATGTAATATAATCATTGCATAAATGATTTAGTTTGTAGCTGCTCAGTGATAATAGCTTTCAGAGATATGTCACATTTGTTTTGAAACAATTTGAATTTCAACAGTGGTTTCTTTCATTTGTTTTTATGAATAGGGAACGACAGTGGGTAGATGATTTTCCTCTCCATCGAAGTGCCTGTGAAGGAGATTCAGAGTTATTAAGCCGTCTTCTCAATGAAAGATTTTCAGTCAACCAATTAGATAGTGACCACTGGGCACCCATTCATTATGCATGCTGGTAAATAAATTACTTATTATTTTCTTTTAGAAAGAATTGCTCCTTAGTTATAAATGTTAGTACTTCTTTTCAAAACTATTCTCATTCCAGCCACTTTTTGTCTACCATGTTTGTTTTATGAGTTTTCTATTTAGATTTTGATTACTGTATATGTGCCTCCGTTTAGAATTGCAAGGTCTGCTCCATAGGAAAAGTATTATTAGTGTTCTCAGGCATTACCAGATCATACAGTAGGATAGCTAATGACTAGCAAGTGTCATTGCACAGCACAAGGTCCCTAATTTACCCTTGCAATTTCTATTGTTTTATATTGGAGTTGTTATGTTTGTTTATACCCACTATAAAATTTACATGTGTTAACTACTTATGATTTGACCTTTTAGTTCTTTGGGAAGCTGTGATATCAGGAAAACCCCAAAAACCTTCGTTAGACTCAAAGCCTTCCTTTTTTTTTTTTTTTTTTTTTTTTTTTTTTTTAGATGAAAGGGATTAGATCACAGGACTGAGGTTAGCTCTTTGCACTAGTTAGTTGCCCAATGTAGTTAGTTCTTGCTCTCCCACTCTTCTCACATGATTTTAACTTTTCCCCTCAGCTGGGCTGAGTTCTTAAATTGGTGTTCATTGTAGTAGTTAACTGTTGTTATACTCCCATGCTTTAGAAAGGATGTAGTAAAGTTATTTACTATTATTTCTTATGGAAAAGATGCTTTTGACTTATTGTTTAAAGTGAACTTCTTTGGCTTGCTTAAGAAGTGTCTACAGTATTTACTGCTTGTAATATGTTCACGACTTCTTAGCTTCATGACATCGAGCAAGGCACTCCACCTCTTGGCATCTCAGTTTTTTTAATCTATAAAATGCATTAATTAGATCATTTCTAGAGTTCTTTTCAGCTCAGATTCTTTTGATTTCACTGATTCCAATACTTGTGATCAAGAAGCTAAATATAGTTGCTTTAAATATACATCTTTTCTCTTAAAAATAAGCTATTTCTTTAAAAATGTTTTCCTTTATTCAGTAAATATGCTCTTAATTTTTATGTTTGTTTCTTTAAAATATGCTTCTTTATTCTATACTTGTGTTCTTTCCCCATTACAGAGAATTTTTATATTCGATTTGGTAAGAGCTACCCTAAATCTTCTTCAGTTAAACTTATAATTGTTTCTTCAGATTACTAGTAAATATTGCTAACAGCAACAGCATTAAAATAACAACATGCTTTACCTGGAACTAAAAAGAAAAAAAAAGTAGAGAATATAATTTAAAACCCTAAGAAAGTACACTGTGGAATTGGGAAAGACAGAGGCAGTGAATTTTAGTTTAGGAATCTCAAATTTATATTTGGCTATATTGTTGTTCCCTACCCCCTTTTTATTTTTGGGGGGGGCAGGGGCTTATTTTCTTCTCTAATAAAAGAATGGTAATACTTTCAACTACCTGTTACATAAAAACAGAAGTATGGTATAGTATTTAATGTGCTTTGAATTGTCCCTAGGTTTCAGTCTCAACTCAGTTCCTAGAAATATAGCCTTTGGCAAATTACTTAATGTCTCTAAGGATCCGTTTCTTTTTCTACAAGATGGGCTTAATAATACTTTTCTTAAGATTAAAGGAGAAAATGCAAAAAAAATGCTTTGAGAGTAACTGGCATATAATAAGCACTCAATAAATGTTGGTTGTTTCTATTAAAGTATTGTAGTAATTTAAAGATTTTGATGTCTAAAGCTAAAATTCATTAAGCTATAGTATTTTTATTTGGAAAATCTTATTACTACAATACACCAAGGAAAAGGATTTTATCCTTTGATAAAATTAATTTTATGTTAGCTAGAAATAATAACCAAGTTTAATATACGAGTAGGTATAGGTCACCTTGCAATACTTTAATCAGACGGATCATTTGATTGATGTGAATTTGAGTGAAGACTGATTCAACTATTTAGTAAGGAACTTAAATTACTTTATCTTAGAAATGTACTCTTATTGAATAACTGGTACATGGATTGAGGAGGAGAATACTGGGCTATCTGATCAAGAGGCTGGGAATTGGGACCTATCTTTATGAGCTTGGACAAGATATTTTACCCCTCTTGATCTGTTTTCTTATCTTTAAAAATGAAGGTTTTTATGAGATCAGTGGCTCTCAAACTTTGGTGTCAGGACCCCTTTTCACTTGTAACAATTACAGGATCCCAAAGAGCTTTTGTTTATGTGTATTATATGTGGTATTATTTACCATACTGTAAGTTAAAACTGGAAACTATTTTAAGTTTTTATTAATTCATTTTAAAATAGCAAACATGTATTAACGTAAATAATACAATTTTCTGAAATATACCTTATTTCCCCAAATTTTAAAAAGTTAGTAAGAAGAGTAGCATTGTTTTACATTCTACGTGTAATTTGTTATAACATTGCAAGTCATGTAACTTCTACTACACTTACAAGAAAATGAGAGTGAAAGAAGCAAATAACTTCTTAGTCTTATGAAAATATGTTTGACCTATAAGACACTCTGAAAAAATTTTAGGGATACTCATGGGTTCCTGGATCACTCTTTGAGAACGACTTAATTAAATCACCAATAGAATTGCTTTTAAAATTCTCATATTGGTGACTACATACCTAAAAACTATTCTTTACTACAATTACCATTTTCCAAAACCATTTAAGTTGGCTATCTCCCCATATGGGTAACTTGTCAAGTACTCAGTAAATGTCTCATTGACATCCCATATTCTCTTACCTCTCTCAAACCAGTGTCTTCTCTCTCTAATAGTACTTTCAGGCTTGAATGACATCATTGCTGGAGGGTGTTATAGAACTATGATGATTTGGCTTCCTACAAATTACTCCATTTGATTTCATTTGGACCTTCACTGTAGCTTAATTGTCTATCTTTTCTGTCTCATTCATCCTGTCAGCCTTTTGGTCTTCCCTTACAAGTCGTTCTAAACCTTCCTACTCTTAAGCTCTTAAATTCTCACTACTTTTTCTCAATTCTCATCAGATAGATATATTCATATTTTCAAAGAAAATTGAAGGATTCAAAATGTCCTTCCCAACCTTAATGATCAGTTTTTATTCCTATCTCTCTCCTGTATCATAGTTTATATAAGTAAAAATCCTTCTCTTTACCCATTAAATTCACTTTCTCCTATTCTGTACTTTCTTTTCTCTTACTTTCAAACATATGTGCTTCTCTCCCTCCTTGAAAAGAACCTAATTTGAACCTGCTGCCTCTTCTGGCCACTATCATGTTCCTTTCCTTCCTTTCATAGCCAGATTTCAGAGGTGAGTAGGCCACACTCATTGCTTTCTCTTTTCAGTCTTTATGAACCTTCTTAACCTTTTCTGAGTTTTTAATCACTTTCATTGATATTTAATACCATTGACCACTCCTCCATTGTAAGAACAAATTGGAGTTGAAAGGGTATAAGGGAGCTAAAATGAAGGTCAGTACAATGCAAGATATTATAATTATTATTATTATTGAAATACTGGCCCAGGCATGTGTTACAGTATAGAAACTGCTATGCTAAGATTTAGAAAACTGAATTTTAACTATGGCTAGTAACTATGAGACCTTAGGCAAGTTATTTCACTGGTTCAAGCTTCATTTTTCTTATTTGTGCAATAAAAAATACCTTTGCCTGCCTTGTAAGTTACTGTGTAGATTAATTATATAAGTACCTTGAAAATTTTAAAGCACATATAAAATGCATGTTTATATTAATTATTTTAATTATTACTTCTTGAATTGCTCCCTTAGTATCTTTTCCTGTTGAAAGAGTGTTTTTCAAGATACATTTCATTGTTCCAAGATGATCTTTCTCTAAATTTTCTCTCAGAAGGACTTCATTCATTCTCCCAGACTTAGTAGTTATTCTTTTGGCTTAGATGAATTTGTGTATTCTCAGATAGATCTCCTGAGCCTTTGCCTTCCTCCTAAGAACCAGGCTGATATTTTCAGTTACCTACTGAATAGTTTAGTCACTCATTTTTTATGCATAAGGCAGTTTGGAGAATGCAAAGCTACTCTTCCTACCCTCAAGGAATTTCCAGGCTGATCAAGAACAAACATGTATAAACAAGGGTGAAAATAGGCAAAATGAGATAAGTCCCATAATAAAAGCAAAAGTAAAATGTTAAAATGTAGTAGGAATATGGAAGAGGTAGATTTTAAACTGTTTCAGAGAAATAATAGTATTTAACCTGAACAAAATGAGAAAGAAAAACGACATCTTAGGAATAGCAAAGAACACGAGCAAATAGTCACATGAACAAATGGTAGGTTCGGGGCATAGGAAAACTATAGGGTATGTGAAGAGGAAGAAAGGAAAGTTGAGGGCAAATCATATCAGTTCTGAAGATGTACAGTTTTCTCCTCAAATGCACATATCTAAAAGCAAATTTTCTTTCCTCTTTCCCCCTCCCACCCATTTATTTAAAAAAAATGAATTACTTTTCCACCATTGCTTCAAATTGCAGCCTTATGTAAATGTTTGGCTATAACCAAAAGGTGAGCTCACTATATCTGGCATATGATTTGTACTTTTCTGGGTCCTTGCTTTGCTTACTCCTTTTCGTGATACCTAAAATATTTTACCTCTCTTCAACATCTCTTCAGTTCCTTTCTATTTAAAATCCAGTTCAGTTGTTCTTCTATTAAAATACTTTACAGGACCATTTTAGACTGAAATTTTAATCTTCCTTTTCTGATATTTTTTTAAAGCATTTAATTATATACTATCTTGATTTGATAAGCACATAGTATCTTATTTTGTTATCTCAAACTGTTACTTAAATTTTAGAGCATTCTATAACTGTCCTATGTTTTTTACTTCTCTGATTACATTGTATGTACACCTTTATCAGAGCAGAGACCATGTATCTTTGTGTCTCACACATTACCTAATACAACAGCTACATAAAGAATTACATCTTTGGGCCTATTGTAAACCACAGTCAGGCCTTTGTGAAAAGCATTAAGTTTATGAGTTACTTTCTGATTCTGAACATATTTTTGACTAAAAATTTTATCTCCCTAATTTATAATTTTCGTACTTTATGTGCAGTGGTTCTCTATCATATGCTGTCTTGTGTTTGAGATTGTATTTTCTCCCACTTGATCAGAAATAAACACTGTTGAATCGAACCAGAATAATTTATAAGAAATCCCTAGGCACTGAAAACATTTATACCAATATCTTAATTCCTTGCTCTCCGCCTAGAAAAATCTTAGATTTCTTTGGGATGTCATCTAAAATTCGAAGTTCTAAAACATTTCGATGACTTTAGTATTTTTTTTTTTTTTTAAGGTATGGAAAAGTTGAGGCCACTCGCATATTGTTAGAGAAAGGAAAGTGCAATCCAAATCTTTTAAATGGACAGCTTAGTTCTCCTCTTCATTTTGCTGCTGGAGGAGGACATGCAGAAATAGTACAGATTCTCTTAAACCATCCAGAAGTTGACAGAGTAAGTTATTTTCTGGGTTTTTTTTTAATGTTCAAACAGTGAGTAATAAGTTATGACACTAAAATATTCAATTGTATACTTGAGAGATCAGCTGAAAAATAAAAACAAATTTCACTTACTATATATAGAATAAATATTATTCGTAAACTTTTCTTTTGTACATAGATATTTTTTATTGTAGTAAATTATGCCTTACATAAAGTTTACCATTTAAGCCATTTTTAGGTGTGCAGTTCAGTGGCATTAAGTATGTTCACTTTATTGTGCAATCATCACCACTGTCCATCTCCAGAATGTACATAAAACTTAACCTCTTCATTTTATATTTTATTTCCTCAATATATTTTATATTATATTTCCTTAAAGTATCTTTAAGAATGAAAAACATTTTCTATCCACTTTCTAGAATTTATATTGACAAATATTTTGTGAAGGGAGAAATAATAGTTTTAACAAAACCTTTGTCGTAGCTATAATTATAACTTTTAAAAAACAATCACACTGATTAGTGCTTTGAATCCTTTATCTTTGGCAATCCATGTTTATTTTAAGTATAACATATATTGAGTATGGTTAGTATTTACTTAATACTTGAGAAGAGCCTGTTTTTTATGAAACTTTAATTGAATATTTTCCCTTAGAATACTATAATGCCTTTTTTCTTTATCCTTTTCCACATTTCTAGCACATAACAGACCAACAGGGAAGATCCCCCTTAAATATTTGTGAAGAAAACAAACAAAATAATTGGGAAGAAACTGCAAAATTGTTGAAGGAAGCCATCAACAAACCAGTAAGAATTACCTTTATAGTTAAAGCCAAGCATTGTACTTAAATCGATAAGTAATTCGAGGCTCTATGGCAAGAGTGGAAGGGTGAATTGCTGGATGGTTTCTTTACTGCTTTTATAAAACCTTATAGTTAGACTCCATAGATATTTAATTTGTTATCATACCTAACACTCAGACATTTATTCTTACATAACAAAATGAAACTTGTATAAATAAGTATTTTCATAACTTAAAATTAACCTAATCTCCTGTATAGTCTCTATGCTTGGTGTGCTAATTAAAAGTTGCATTCTAGTCATTAAAGCATACCTTTCTACTTAGGCCTTCTCTGCAATATTTTATATTTGTAAATATTAACATTTCACATTATTAATTTAGTTTCAGCTAGTTATTTATATATTACAGATTCATTTCCTCCTTAGGATAGTAAATGGGTTAAAATAGGTGATTTCGTAGCTCTTCGTTTTGCCAGTTCAACTTGGCCTTTCCATCTAATTATGTAAAAATAATTAGCAGTAACATTAAGGTAGAGAAGAATTAACAACTAGAAAAAACTCAACTTATTGCCTAAAAATTAGTATGATAAACCTATGATGAATTTAAAAACTGAAAACTTGCAAACCAGATAAAAGGATTTGTAACAACATATAAAGGATAAGTTTGATACCAACAGATATAACCCATATGTCTGAACCTTTCCAGACATTCCCATCAACTTGACAATAAGTCTTTGTTGAGTATTTCTGTTAATTTAACACCATGAAATGCTAAAAGTAAAAGTAATAAATGATAAAGAATATATGATCTCTCCCTTTAAGGAGAATTACACATACGCACATACACATTTTGTCTAAACATTTTTCCATGAGCATAAGACAAAGGCAAGAAAATAGATAAGTGGTCTGGACACCCTTATACTTCATTGCAGTTTATTTTCTAATTGTATAATTGAAACACTTTTATTTTCTTAACATAATTTTTCTATTACAATGTGTAAGATAAGAGAAATTAGGTAGGTAATTTTACCCAAAATGAACTGTCCTGGAAGTTGTATGAAGTCTTTAATTACTTCCTATAACAATAAAAATGTATTGAGAATATTTCTGTCTGGGATGGCATAACTTTTACCTCCAAAGTCTTCTATCACAGACTCCTCTTAGGATAAATTATTGCTGGTATACATTTCTACAGTATAATTTGTGGCCCACTAGACTCATGAGGTACTTGACTGGTACTTTAGTTAACCAGTCTGTATCTCCCTGATATTTAATTATACATTAACAGCTTTAAAATATCCTCTGAAGTTGAATTTTTTTAAAAAGCTATTTGCCTTAGTTTCTGAAACTTATTTAACCATGGAATATCCAGAGGAAAACTTTAGAAAATATAAATAATGGAAGTAAAATTTTTTAAAATATTGCCAACAGATTCTCACTTGAAGCAGTTTTTCTGATATTTTCCATGTTAGAGATTTATAATAAATAAAGCAGAAGAAGTTGAAATTAAAGCATTTTGTTGGATTGGGATGTATAATTTCTAACTAGGTTGCATAATATATTATCATTCTTTGTACTAGTATGAAAAAGTTCGAATATATAGAATGGATGGATCATACCGTTCTGTTGAGCTGAAGCATGGAAATAATACCACAGTGCAGCAGATAATGGAAGGCATGCGTCTCTCTCAAGAAACACAGCAATATTTCACTATTTGGATCTGTTCAGAAAACCTCAGTAAGAAATTATTTTGTTGTGTGAACCTTTCTGAGAGTAGGTTGGTAAATTTCAGTATAATATCAGTTTATTACTGTCTTTTAAATTTTGAAATGATAGTGTTAGTAGTGCTCAAATGGTTAAAAAAGGGTAAGCCTCTGGGCCCATCCTCCCCCTTCATCCAAACAATATTTTAGTGGTAGAAACCAAAATATTTCTTCTCTGGCAATGGAATTTAATTTGAATGCCATTAATTGTGGTGCTTATCCAACTTGCTTTTATTTTCAGTGCTCAGAGTAATACAAAAATATATTTTTTTATATTAGTTTTCTATCAGATCTTTTTGTTTAAAATCAGCCTAATGTCAGTATAGATTTGTCTCTCAAAGTATAGCATATACGTAAGGAATTTCATCGAAGTTGTTGGGATTTGTTATCTAATGGTTTAATTGTATTTTTTAACCCAAATTCTATTGATTATATGATAATTAAATAGGCTATCATGGAATTAAGGATCTTAAACAGATTTAATAAATTTTATTTAAGAATTCTCCTAATTCTTATATTCTTAAAAACAAAAGCAATTAACTTCAAAATGGGTAGTTATATTGATTAGAGTCAATGCTGATTTAAAGTTAGACCTTTAATTTATGTGTATTCAGTACTTGAGTGCAGAGAGATTAATACAAAGAAAGTTTCTATGTATTGATGTAATTGATTTATTTTTACATTATCATTTATAAAAGGAAAGATGTTTTTCAGGCCTTCAACTCAAACCTTATCATAAACCTTTGCAACATGTTCGGGACTGGCCAGAAATACTTGCTGAATTGACTAATTTGGATCCCCAAAGGGAAACACCACAGCTTTTCCTAAGAAGAGATGTAAGACTTCCTTTGGAAGTTGAAAAAAAGGTTTGCTTGGAAATCTAATTTATAGTAATTTAAATGCACAAAATTCATAAGTTCTTATTGTAGGCACTAGAGGCAAAAACTGTGCTCCTCTGTACAGGTAGGGTTTACTTCTATTTTATTGTCCAATCCTCACATCCCTGTGATAAGTGGTAGAATTTGAGTCAGTCTACTTACAAAGCCCCTGGATGGTTTTTCTGTTTTTACCTCCACTGTCTTAGAATACAAAAGAAATAAGAGACTCTATCCTAAAGAGAATTAGCAACCAGACAGGAGACAGATTATACAGAAAAAATAAAAAAGTTAGAAAGGAAGTATAGTGTCAAAGATAAACTTAATAAAGGGCTAATCAGTTGTGTTGATTTCAGAGGAGCAAAGAGATAATACTTGGTGTGGGAGGAGAGTAGAAAAAAACATTCTAGGTGGAGAAGATTATATTTGCAAAGGGGACATGAAAAATTATTTTCAACAGTCAGTCAGTAGCTGTTTTCAACCCCCAAGCAGAGAACTATATAGATTGTAAAAAAGGAGAAAACAATTTACATTTAGTAAAAAGATCTATTCCAAACAAGTATGTTTGGATTTGAATTACTGTAAATGTTAGAGGAGAAATGAGATAATGCCATTTGAAGGATGAGTGGGCAAGGAAGAAACATAAGAGAGATATTACAAGTTAAACTAGATATGATCTAAATACAGTGTGATAGCTATGAAAATTGGTGTGGTAGGGGGAGTTCCAAGATCTAATAACTGAATACAATGCATTTCCTGATTCTTTATTCAAGGAAATATTAAACAAGGCTAAGCAAATTTCAACACATGAAAATTTCAATGACATGTCCAAACTTGGTAAATATTTTATGCCTGACTACTCATATCATTCCTCTTATATTATCAAACCAAAGATAAATTTGATTGTTTCAGCCAAATATGCTGGGAGTTATATAAAAATTTGTATAAAATAGACCCAAAACTAAAATCTTGATTATTCATTTAAAATGTGTTAGAATCACAAATAGAAAGAAGAAAAAGCCATATGATCATCTCAATTGACAAAGAAAAGGCATTTGAGAAAAATCCAATGCCATTTCATGGTAAAACGCTCAGAAAACTAGGAACTTCATCAATGCGATAAATGGTGTTTAAGAAAAATAGACAGCTAACATCGTATTTAGTAGTGAAAGACTGAAAGATTTCCTCTTAATATCAGGAACAAGATAAGGTTGCCTATTTTCACCACTGCCGTGTAATATATTACTAGACGTTTTAGCCAGAGAAATTGGTCGCCCTCCCTCCGCCCCCCAAAAAGGGCATTCAAATAGGAAAGGAAAAAGTAAAACTATCTGTATTCACAAATGACATGATCCTATATTTTGGATCCCAAAGAATCCACAAGAAAGCCATTAGAGCTAATAAATGGATTCAGCAAAGTTGTAGGGTACAAAACTCAGTTATTTCTGTATACCAGCACAAATAACCCAAAACAGGAAATTAAGAAATCCATTTATATAGCATTAAAAGAATAAAATACCTAGGAATACATTTAACAAAAGAAGTGTAAGACTTGTGCAATGAAAACTACAGAAACATAAACAAATTACAGAAAACTTAAGTAACTGGAAAAACATCCCATCTTATCCCAGGATAAGAAGATTTAATATTGTTATGATGATATACTAGCAAAGTAGTCTACTGATTCAGGGCAATCCCTGACAAAGTTCCAGTAGCCTTTTTTGTGGAAATGGAAAAGGCAGTCTTCAAATTCGTATGGAATTGCTAAGAGCCTTGAATGGCCCAAACAGTCTTGAAAAAGAAAAAAGTTGGAGGATTCACATGTCCCCATTTCAAAACTTATTAAACTATAAAACTTTTAGAAGAAAACGTGGGTAAATCTTCATGTCCTTAAATTTGGCAATGGGTTTTTATGTGTGACACTGAAACATGAATAACAAAAGAAAAAATAGATAAATTGAACTTCATCAAAATGAAAAACCATTGTAAATCAAAGGACATTATCAAGAAAGTGAAAAAACCTATAGAATGGGAGAAAAATATTTGCAAATCATATATCTGATAAGGGCTTACTTTACAGAACATATAAAGAACTCCTTTGGGTGGTGAACGCACAATGTAATATACAGATGTTGATTTATTGAACTGTACACTTGAAACAAATAAATTTTATTAACCAGTGTCACCCCAATAAATTTTTTAAAAAAGAACTCCTACAACTCAGTAACAAACGTCAACCCAATTAAAATGGGCAAAAGACTTGAGTAACATTTCTCCAGTGAAGATATATAAATGAGACACCAGTTCACACCTACTAGGATGGCTATAATATTAAAAATTTATAAAGGAAAATGACAAGTGTTGGTGAAGATGTAGAGAAATTGGAACCCTTGTACATTGCAGGTAGGAGTGTAAAATGGTGCAGCCACTGTGGAAAAGAATTTAAGTAGTTCTTCAAAAAACTAAGTAGAATTACCATATGATCCAGCTCCTAACTATATTATATACCTGAAGAACTGAAAATAAGAAACATACCTGTTTGCCAGTATTCATGGCAGCATTATTCACAATAGCCAAAAAGGTGGAAACAAACTGTCCATCAACAGATAAATGGATAAACAAAATGTAGTATATACGTACAATGGAATATTATTCAGCTATTAAAAGGAATAAAGTTCTGATACATGCCATAACAATGATGGACCCTAAATACATGCTAAGTGAAATAAACCAGTCACAAAAAGATAAATATTATATGTTTCTACTTACATTAAATATCTAAAACAAGAAAATTCATAAAGACACTAGATTAGTGGTTGCCACAGGTGTGTGGTGGGGGAAGAATAAGGAGTTACTGCTTAATGGTTACAGATTTTGTTTGGGTGATGAAAAAATTGTGGAAATGGTTGCACAACATTGTGAATGTAATTAATGCCACTGAATTATATATTAAAATAGTTAAAATGACAAATGTTTTGTTATATGTATTTACCACAGTTTTAAAAATATTAGATCCATGAAATCTTCAAATAATCTAAGTATACTCAGTCTATCTTCCTGCTCCACCTTAAGTAATATTTAAAAGTTGGCTATTAGAGAAAAAGAGCAATGATGATAATACTCAGATGATAAATTGCATAATTATGTTATAAATAATAGATAGTGGGCTCAAGTGAAAGAAGCAAGACTTAATAAGTACTGAAGGTAAATCAGAATATCATGATCATCTGGTAAAGTAGTTGTATTTCACTCATTTTGAAATTAAAGAATTGCTATTTGTACCATCTGGAAAATAGAAGAAGTGCAATTATTGGTTAGCATCATTCTTTTAGGATGAAATAGCCTGATTTAAGTTACGAAGAACAATTGTTAACTAATACTCACTGAACATACTATTAGGAATTATAACTCTACTCAAACTCTTCAAATTCACTAAGTCAATTTTTATTAGAAAAGTGCATTTTTCAATCTTTTTTTCCAACATTTTATTTTAAGATATTAAAAACCTATAGGATAGTTGAAAAAGTTATAAAATTCACACTATGTACAATCTATTAAAACACTAATTGTTGATTTTTTGCTACATTTGCTTCATCTTTTCTCATCTTTGTAAACCATTTAAGAGTTGCAGACATTATGGCACTTCATCCGTCCATATTTCAACATGCATTTCCCAAGAGTATACCTATGTACTATAATACTATTTACAACCTACTAAAATTAATATTTCCATAATAACATCCAATATCAGGTCCATATTCAGAATTCCCCTAATTGTTTCAAAGTCTTTTATAACTCCCATTTATAGGATCTAGTCAAGGTTCGATGCTTTGTATTTATCATCTCTTTAGTCTCTTGTAATCTAGAACAATCCCCTCCATCATTTTTTCCCCATGAAATTTTTTTTTTAATGTTATATAGAGTATTCTAAGTATTACTTTAGCTAGTCTAACAAAAATAATCTTTACCATAGGAATTTGAATCATTGTAAGTTATATTTGGAAATATTTTAAGTATTCATTCAGAAACTCCATAATTGGTGATTATTTCCAACTAGAACTATGTTCTGTAAGCTAGCATTTTTCAATCTTTGTTAATCTTATCGGATAAAGTGAAACTTTGAAGTTTTTAAAACCTAAAAAAAATCATATGCTCTCCTTTCATGTTATTTGAAAGTGTAAAGTATTTTTTTAAAAAAACGTTTGTCTTAAACCTTTTTAAACTACATGTACCTTTTTGGGAATTAACACACCTTTTATCTTCTTTGAAGTCCACTACTATTTTGTACGAAGCATAGATAATAGAAAAATATGTGAGGAATATAAAGAATTTAAGTAAATGTGCTAGAAATTATCCATATCCATAAACTAATGAAAATTTTATTGGACCGTAAATCAGAGGTTAGTAAACTATGGCCTGTTGCTGTATCTGACCTGCTGCCTATTTTTGTATATTTTGTATATTTTACAAGCTACTAATGGTTGAAAAAAACTCAAAAGAACATTTCATGTCATGAAAATGTTATGAATTCAAATTTCAGTATCCATATATAAAGTAATTAGAACACAACCACATCCATTTGTTGACGTTTTGTCTGTGGCTCCTTTTGTACTACTGTAGCTGAGTAGATGTAAAAGATTATATGGCTCACAAAGCTTAAAATATTACTATTTGGCCCTTCATAGAAAAATTTGTCAACCCCTGCTCTTAAGCATTAACAGCTTATTTATATATAAATATGTAGCTTTTGCTTTTCCATATTAGAAAGTGACAAGTACATTTGTAACAAAATCATAACCTAATAACGAAGTTATACCTTTTCTTTTAAGATTGAAGACCCACTGGCTATTCTTATTCTCTTTGATGAAGCCAGATATAATTTACTGAAGGGCTTTTATACAGCTCCTGATGCCAAACTGATAACATTGGCAAGTCTACTGTTGCAAATAGTTTATGGAAATTATGAGAGTAAGAAACACAAGCAAGGTTTCTTAAAGTAAGTATTTAATAAAATGTGTGGTTTTGTTCAATGTTAAAGATTGATTAACCAAGAAAGTTTAGAAATATTATGTTTTTAAGAAATATTTACACATTGGTTTGGAATTAAATACAGTCAGCCCTTCATATCCGTGGGTTCTGCACACGAATTCAACCAACCACAAATCGAACTCATGCATGTGGAGGGCTGACTAAGGACTTGTGCATCCTTGGGGTTCCTGGAATCAATCCCCCATGGGTACTGAGGGACACTCGTAATACAGGCATGGAAAAAGAGGGGAAAAAAGTATGGTAAAGCATCCCTTACTATATATACTCTCTCCAAAGTTTTCCTTATATCTGACTATAGTTTGATAATCCTTATACTTTTAAATTTATGTTTCTTTGCTATATGTTTAAATAAGTTCACTAAAACCTGACTTAAGTAGTAGGAAAATGTTATAAAGCGGATGCATTTAAGAATATCACCACAAAAACTAGTTTTGTGTTTTCTTGTTGAGAAAGAAACACTGAGATTGTAGCACATATAAAAGTTTGTATATTGTGGTCTTCAGTTTTCAAAAATATTTTGTGGTTATTGAAAGAAACATTTCTCTAAATTGAGCAATGTTAGGATCGTGGCTTTTGCTTAGAAGTTTTAGAATTCTCTGATATTTTATAATGTATTTTTAGCTCAAAAACCAAGTTACTTAAAGTTATTTGTGTCTAAATGATTATATTACTTCAGCTACTGAAGATGATTTATTTAAAAGATGTTGGCATATTTGCTTACAGTGAAGAAAATCTGAAATCCATTGTACCTATTACCAAATTGAAAAGTAAGGCACCTCACTGGACAAACCGAATTCTTCATGAATATAAGGTAAGCTGTTTAATAGAACTAAAAAGGCATTTTATAGCCTACTTGAAATTTTGTTAGTATTATTTTAACATGAATACATAAAATATATAGTCCTGAAATTAAAAATGGGTCTTCTGGTTCACATGCCTGAAACTGAAACTAGCAAGATATTTTTATTTTTAATAATGTAGAATCTTTTGCTGAATACTTCCTATATGCTGGATACTGTGGTAAGGGCTAGAGATTAAAAATCATGAAATAATACACTCTCTCTGCCCATAAAAAACCTAATAGAATAGACAAACAATATTTTAGACCTTGATATATATATATATTTTTTTAATATAAGATCTCAAAAAAAACTGCTCTTGGGATGTCACACGATTTTATTCTTCTTTGGGGACAGCCTTGATTTTAGAAACTTCTTAATTGACCTGTTTGGATTCTCAAAAGTATGTTCTCCTTCACATCTCTTTATTTTACTTTATTTGGTTTTAGAATCTTAGTACAAGTGAAGGTGTCAGTAAAGAAATGCATCACCTTCAGCGCATGTTCTTACAAAATTGTTGGGAAATTCCTACATATGGAGCAGCTTTTTTCACAGGACAGATATTTACAAAGGCAAGCCCCAGCAATCATAAAGTCATACCTGTGTATGTAGGAGTGAATATAAAAGGACTTCATCTCCTCAACATGGAAACTAAGGTAGATTTTCAACTTTTCAGCTGTTTTTGACCAGTCATATTATATAATATCTAAAGTAACAGTACCATGAAAAAATCTAGAAATGGCACATGTATGACTATTCATTGCAGTATCGTTTGTAATAGCAAAAGATTGGGGGAGGGGGTTGTGCAAATGTAATCATTATCAATAGAGAGCTAATACCTTGCAGCCATACAAAAGAATGAAGAATATTTTTGTGTAGAATGATCTCCAAGATATATTTAGTGAAAAAGCGAGGTGCTGAACCATATGTAATATCCTACCCTTTGTATAAAAATGGAGGAAGTGGGTATTTATCCGAAGAAGAAGAAAACACTTATATATATATACCACCGTGCTCAGTGCAGCATTATTTACAATAGTCAAGATATAGAAACAGCCTAAGTGTCTATTGATGGATGAGTGCTAAAGAAAATGTGGTATATGTGTATTGTATATAATGGAATATTTTCAGCCACAAAAAAAATAAAATTTTGCCATTTGCAACAACATGGATGGACCTTGAGGGCATTATGCTAAATGACATGGTTAGACAGTGAAAGACAAATAGCATTTGATCTCATTTACATGTGATCATTAAATTACCAAAAAAAAACACTTCCCAAACTCATAGATAGAACAGATTGGTAGTTGTCAGTGGGGGAAGGGAGTTGGAGGGTGGGCAAAATGGGTGAAGAGAGTCAAAAGGTGCAGACTTCCAGTTGTAAATAAGTCATGGGGATGTAATGTACAACATGGTTACTATAGTTAATAATACTGTATTGCATATTTGAAAGTTGCTAAGAAAGTAGCTCTTATAAGTCCTCATTACAAGAAAAAAAATGTTTGCAATTGTATGGTGACAGATTAGACTTATTAGATTTATTGTGATGTTAATTAGACTTATTGTGATGATCATATTGCAGTATATACAAATATTGAATCATTATGTTGTACACTTTAAATTAATATAATGTTATATGTCGATTATACCTCAATTTTTTTTAAAAAATGGTAAGTGAAGACTATATTTATATAAATACATATTGCTTGTGTATGCAGTAAGAAGTCTCTTGAACCCTTTAGAGAAGGAAACCAGGTAACTGAGGGTAAGAGTAAGAGGGAGACTTTTCACTATATACCATTTACAACTTAAAAAAAAATGAAATTGTGATTATACTACCTATTGTAAAAATCAATTAGATTTATATGAAAAAATACAGATTAAAAAAGGAAAATATAACATCTAATATAAGAGCTTCATTTTGAAAATTAGAATTAATTATAAGAAACTTTTGGGGGGCAGGAAGAAGAGAGGAAGTGATTATGAATACCTATTAGAATGCTTCACGGCTTTTTAATCAGGCTTGCTACTGTATTGTGCTCCTTATTCTAATCAAAGTCACTAAAATATGGGGTTGGTTATCAATTATTTTTAACATACTTAACACATTTCATAGGAAGAACAGCTTTCTAGTTTGTATAGGAAGCTAATAAAAATCGAATATATTTTCATTTAGATTTGTCAAGAACAGACCACTTTCCAAATCAGTTAAAGTAATAACTAAGTTTATGCATTTAAAAAAGACATTTTAGATTAGGAAATTTCATCATAAGCCTAATTTTTATTTTCGTCATTTTTATAAGTCTTTATTCTGTAATCACATAATTTCTGAAAGTCTCCTAATCATAGTTTTAGTCATTTGATGATAGCTCAGAATCATCCTTACTGTACTGTTAGATAGGCCTGTGAATGAAGATAGAGAATATATAGGGATGTAGGGCTGAATAAGGGCTGACTTCAGTAATTGATCTGGAACTTGACTTTTTGAAGTCTCTGATGTCAGCTCGCTTTTGGGTCATTTGCTTACTTTCTATGTAAACTGTTTCACTTATACAAAATAGGTTCTTAGTAGCTTGTAACCACTTTTCTGTTTCTATTGTACGTACTAAGCCTGTTAAAGAAAATAAAGGAGAAATTCCCCTCACCACTTCAAAAAAGTTTTCCTCTACTATTTCAGAGCATTTTATACCAGTATCTACAAATCTTTCTTCATTGAACTGGATGGTGATTCTGTGGGAGTAACGCTGAGCCTTTTCTTTAAACTTATTTTGTTTGACATTTGGTAGCATTCCCAGTTTAGGCAACAGTAAAAAGTTTTATATAGTATTCAAATAATGGTTCAACAATATCTTATAACATTTCATAATATGAATAATATTCTGGTCTAGGAGTTAAGTGAGATAGTATCAGACAGAGGATGATAATATTATTAATGGTGTGCTTTTTCAGGGTAGGATGTTCAATTTTCAGAAATATAAATAGAAATGCTGTCCTTGGGTATATAAAAAGGTGATTGAACCCAAGGGGAACAATATTTTCTGTCCATGTCATTATCTTGGGTTCTGTAAGCCACTAGTAATACAGCACATACAAAAGTTCTAAGATGAATACATTTTCTAATCATTAAAAGTGGGAGCAATCAGCTTGTCCTCATTTGTCTTAGGTTCACCAGGATCTGCTAGGGTTGAATTTGACAAGCTTGCTTAAATAGAGTCAACATCTTCATCTGCAAACATATCTTCATTTGTAGTTAAAACTACGTGGGACACAATAGCTTTAGAGATTCTCAGGAAAAGCCATAGAAGACAGTTGTGGATTTTTTTTTTATACCTATTTCTTCTACCTTCTATATTTTGTTTCTTTTTGAAATGATGAAAGTTGCCCATTAGCAAATATAGCTCAACCAGTTTCATATGCTCATCAGAAACTTGTCTCTTCTACTTACATAAAATGTTGATGCTATTGAATAGGTAAATAGACTGTATTGTGTTTCATTGTTTTACTCTAGTGAAAGCATTGCAGTCTACGTAACTGAACTGTACCTGCTGATATATCTTCAACCTTAACAGTACCACTGCTACACCCAGGCATTAGATTACCCTTTGCTGATGTCATTTTATGTTGACTATAATAGCCTTCTAAAATAAAACTGCTTATTTAAATACCCACATAGTGTCATTCTTCTTGATCACTTGTGCCATCACTGTTTCTCCTATCTGTTCTGGTCAGCTATATAGTTTTGACTTCTGTGGTTTTCCCTTTTCTGCTCTCAACTATCCCTGCCATTTCTCTTGTGCTTCCTTCACCAAGCCCTTTGTAGGTTTTACCTCATAATGAGAGCTACTTTTTCCTTCTGAAGCAGATAGATTTCTTAAAACCATGTGGACTCTTTGGCTTTTCAAGTCTAGCTGTTTTCATTATTGTGGATTTCTCAAGAATTCCTTTTTCCCTGCACATTGTCTTTTAATAACAAAACTTTTATATTTAACTTATGGTCTCAACTTTTATTGATAATTCGACTTCCATATAATTGAGTTGCTATACCACAGATGTATTTGTTTCTTATATTGAACAGTTTTAAGGCTATATTAATGGATTATTTCCTGCCTCTTGATAAAACAAATTTTCAATGACTGATCAAAAAGATAGGCAGTTTAAGGTATTATGATATCTTGACTCAGTGTTTCAGTGTGCACATTGATAAATAGCTATTTTAGCATATCCTGTTGATAAAGTTATATTTTACAATAGCTATTCTACTATAAAAAAGAATGTCATTAGTTTCCCATTATACATGATATACATTCATGTAAATTAATTACACTGTTTCATTTATAGAACCTCGATTTTAAAATGCCCTAAACCATTATCTTTTTAGCATATCCTTAGTATATTATTTACAGTCAATATGTTGAGAACTGTTAATCATAGAAAGCTAATGTTTCTTTTTTTTTTTTTTTTTTTACACCTATAGCATCTGGTCTTCCTAGGTGGTCTCCCCTCCAAGTACTAACCAGACCTGACCCTACTTAGCTTCCAAGATCAGTCGGGATCGGGCATGTTCAGGGTAGCATGGCCATAGACCTAATGTTTCTAAACATACATATTTTAAAGGATAGGATGAACGCTTTGTATATGTATATACAAAAATAGATTTTTAGGGCAAGAAAATGCAAGTTACTGCTAAGAGAGAATTATTTAAAAATAATCAAAAGACTATATTGAATGTCTGCTTAAATATACCATTATATTAGTAAATGTAGGAATAGGTTGCTCTAAATAGTTCTGTTGAATTTATGAAGGGTATATTATTAATTTTTTAATTATACTTATTTTTACAATAAATATCTGTATACTTATTTTCAGTGAGATGAAATTGCATCAACATATTAACCTTATTACATAAATTTTAGATCTGAAAGTACTATGTGAATATTCAAAAGGTACTGAATAAAGTATATGGAATTGTTTTAAACTACAGAGAGTAAAAACTTGTAGTACATTTAATTTTCTTAAAAGTCACTGATATAATGGAAATCCTTTTTCCCCCAGCTTTAACTCAGATACATAACATTGTATAAGTTTAAGGTATACAACATGCTGATTTGATACACTTATATATTGCAACATTATTACCACCATACTATTAGGTAATACCTCCAACACAATACAATTACCATTTCCTTTTTATAATGAGAACATTTAAGATCTCTACTATATACTTTCAAATATATAGTAGAATATTAACTATAATCACCATGCTATACATTGAGGTCCCTAGAACTCATTCATCTTATAACCGAAAGTTTTTACTCTTTGACCAACATCCCTTTAATTTTACTCACCCACCAGCCCCTGCTAACCATCATTCTATTCCATTTCTATGAGTTCAGTTTTTTAGATTCCACATGTAAGTGATATCATATGGTATTTGTCTTTATCTGACTTATTTCACTTAATATAATGCCCTCAAGTTCCGTCCATGTTGTTGCAAATGACAGGATTTTCTTATTTCTCATGGCTGAATAATATTCCTGTGTGTGTACATATGTACACATACATACTACAGAAATGGCATCTTTAAAAATTTTTGTCAATCTGATACAAAGAATATCATTGCTCTCAGTCTCCTGAGAGGCTACCATATATGTAACTGTACTACAGGCTGTGTGAGGTTAGTGTGACACTTTGAATAGGTTTTATTCTACAATTAGACCTGTCTAGATAAGTGTAGATAGTAAGAGAAGATAGGTGTTTTTAATATGTATTTCAATATAACAATTTCTAATTATGTTGTAGGCTTTACTCATCAGTCTTAAGTATGGTTGTTTTATGTGGCAGTTGGGAGATGCTGATACATGTTTTCAGATCCATAGTATGGAAAATAAAATGAGCTTTATAGTACACACAAAACAGGTAAGTACTTATCTGTTATTCTGGACTTCTAATAATGAACTACTATATTAGTAAAATTGTTTTTAATGACAATATATTTTACTTCAAGAAAACTGCTAATATGACATGAAATTAAAATATTTAAGACCAAGGAGAAATGGCAGGCCTTTGTAAGCAAACAAAGCCAGAAAGTTATCTGAATGATTTATTTCAGTCTTACAACAATGAAACTCTTTTTTTTTACATTAAAAAAAATTCTGGTCAGTATTCCCTATCTCTTTATCAATTTATAAGGTAGTCCTTCCCTCTTGACTAGTATCCTATCTGAGCCACTAGTTATATGCAGTAGGTAACTTCTTAAATCTCTTCAAAAGCTTGAGTAAATACTCTATTCTTGACAAGCTGCCTCCTGATAAGAAAGTTCCTTTGCAAATAAATAGCTAGGGAACTGCCCACTGCCATGTATGTCATTTACTCATCTAACAGGTTTCACATTTATTATCAACATGTTTTACTTTGTAGGCTGGCCTTGTGGTAAAACTGTTAATGAAGCTAAATGGACAGTTAATGCCTACTGAAAGAAATTCGTGAGAAGAAAGCAGCTGATACTTACATCACCATATTTTGTGATACAGATTTTTTCCATGAAAGATTTCTTAAACTATTACTTTTAACAAGGCACTTAGTCTCTTGTAATATATATGTATACTGTTACATTGTACAGAATCTGTACTTAATGTTTGGTGTGTAATATACCAATTAGTTTTATATAATATCCTCATAAGCTATTCTAATTTTTCAGAGAAACACAGAAAAAAGTATAGATTGATAGTCTGTATAAAATTAGAAAAAAATGTAAGCTTTATAAAAAATTTATTTTTGGTAAATGGTAAAGAATTTAGAGTGGAATGTCATGAAATTAAAATACAGATAGCTTTGCTATAACTGTCATTTCAAAATATACATGAAAGTCAACATGATTTGAATAAAGAAATAGATTTTCTACTTAAGCCATAAAAGTGTTATTTAAAACATTTTTCTGTAATCTGTGAACATTTCTCAGTATGTTTTTTGGAGTTTAAAATGGATCTAGTATAAACTAGTATTCTTCAAAGTATAGTTCTTGAATGCCCTGCATCATAATTACCTGGGGGCCTCTTAAAAATGAGGATTTCAGAGACTCACCCTAGACAAGTTCATTCACTCTCTGGAAGTAGTGGGGCCTGGGAATCTTAGGTTTTGGTTTGTTTTCTGTTGAAGCAAAATCAGACCCAATAATGAATTTGGATTATTAAAGTTAAGTAAGTTACACAAAACTACTTGGCACACAAGCACATATGTACATAGATAACACCGATAAAATGACAATCTCTAGATATTCATTGTTGCAGTTATTAAGTTCATGTTGTATTTTTATGAGTTGGCTTAATGATTTATTTATGTTGTCTTTACATTGTAGGAAGTAGATCACCAAATATCTGGTTGTTTCATTTAGGGGAGTTCTGATATCATAGATGAGGAGCTAACTTATTAATCTGCTATGTAACAAGCTCAGAAACTAATCTTTCCAAGCTAAATAGACTGATGTGTTCTAAGTAAGTTCAGATATACAGTCTTATTTAAAGTTCTACAGATTGCAGATAATTTAATATAGCATCATCTACACTTCACATTAACTTCTGCTTATTTTTAATGGTGCTCTGCCTGAGCTTTATTAAAATTAAGATTATGTGGTTAAGTAAGTTTAATGATAGAGTCTGATTTAATTCTCTGCTAAGTACTTTGATGATACATAGGCAATGCCTTGTTCAATTTTATCCATTCCTATGGTCTCAGCTGTTACCAAAAATCTTGTTGACACTCAGACCTTAACCTCTCTTCTGAACTCTAGATCTTAGTTTGCAGTTTCCTGCTATTCTAGCTCCACCTACATGGCCTACACAAGGAACTTCAGTTTCATCATAGATGGAAACAATTGGTTTCTTCTACTTACTCCATTCTATCTTTACATTTGTATTTTTCGATCAGGTAATGACATCATCAGATTGCATCTTGTTGCTTAGCCTGGAAATCTTGGAGTGGTCTTCAACTTTTCCCTCTTTCATCACTCTACACATTCCATTTATCAAGTTCTGTCAAATGTCCTTTTCAGTCGTTTTCCATTCCCATCCTTCCTGTTTGCACAGCAACCACCCTAGTTCAAGTCCTCACCATGTATCCCTGGGCTCGTAGCCTCCTCTCCTGATGCAGGATCTACACCTTGCCCACCTATCTGTCACATTGCTACCAAGCTAGCCTTTCTTATAGATCTAATTATTTCACTAGCCTTTGAAAACTCTCCTCACTGCATGTTGAATTAAATTCCAATTCCTTATTATTGAATACAGGGCCCTTAAAACTCTGTCACACACCTGCCCATCCAGATTAATGTCTAACCACTTCTCTCACACTCATTCTGTGCTCCTACCTGGTGTTTTCTAACCCTGGCTCTGTAGTCACACGGGGAGTTTGAATACTTTATGACTCAATAAAATTTTAGGGTGCGACCCAAGCATTTCTGTTTTTAAAATATCCCATGTGATTTTGATGTATAGCTTAGGGTTTAGAACTGCTGTTATAACCAACTTTAACTAGGAAGTACCTGAATGCTTTTCCATTCAGAGTGAGGTGAGGATGCAATGATAGTACATTAAGCAACTCCCTGCCGTAGAATATATGGAGTCGTACAGTATGGCAGTCTTGTAGAGAAGGGATGAGGAGACTACTAGAGTAGCGTGGCTATTAAAAGCTTAAAAATACATACCATCCAAAAGTTAACTTTAAAAATTAATATTGAGGAAAAAAATAATTCATTATTTGTGAGACCGTAACAAACCAGAAATAGACAATAAGGAGGAAATGCAAACAGCTTTTAATGAGTGCCTAGAATTGGTCAGGCATTATATATGTGCACTGAGGATGAAAGATACCATTTTCCTTTTCATCCTTCTTTTAATAAATTTGAGTGCCTTTTATGTGCCAGGGATCCAGTAGTAAGGAAAACAAAGTCCCTGCCTTCAGTGAGCAAAGTTTAATGAGGAAGAGAATACTCATGGAAATGTAAACTTATAAATTGTAATAACTATGATGAAAGAAAAAAATGTACTATCTAAGCATAAGCAAGGAAACTTGGTCTAATCTTAGAGATCAGGAGAGGCTTCCCTGAGCAAGTGCTGCTTAAGTGGCATCTGAGGGGGTAAATAGGAATGAATGATGTGAAGGTGACAGGGGGAAGAGAAGTGAGGTGACATGTTTTGACCTCAAGGATAGTCCTGGAGAACTGATAACAAGATTAACAGTTTTTAGTGAAGAAGTGAATTCAAACAAGTTTTTATCCAAATCACAAGAAATGAATTCCCATTGTAGAAATAAAATTAGAACAGCTAACACTGCACATGATAAGCGTATTAGAGAAAATCATACTGAAGAATCACATCTTGTAAGATTAAAAGTTGCCAAAATCTGATAAACGACAAGAACATTAAAAAAAAAATTTGCCAAAATTGACCCTAGAAAAATTACTTGATAGAAATATTTAGCAAAGTAAAACTGCCCACAGTTATTGACCAAATTTAATAGAATTACATCAATAAAATTTATATTTTAATTTGACCCTAAGGAACTCAATGGCAAAAACTGTAATTGGAAGAATTACAGTTTGAATTACAGAATGACTGATGAATCAATTAATTACTTTGTAATGTACGTGGGGGGGAAAAAACCAATGAAAATGATTTCAGTAAAATGAAAATGGAAAAAAATATAAATTGTTTTTGTTGTACTGTATAGAAAACTGATCAAGAAGTTAAATTGGTTTGAGTACATACAAAAAAATACTTTCTCAACAAAAATCCATTTGTGATGGTATGATTCTCATTTCACATTTGTATTCATAAAGTCAGAATGCCTCTAGGATCATATCTAGTGTTTGGAGAGGCTGTGGTAAACAGACTAAAAAGGCCCTACAGCAGAAAGTGGATAAGCCTTGAGTTTTTAGAGGCCAGAATGTTTGAAGCAAAGAAATATCTTTCAGACACCTTAGGGTATAGGGAAGAAAAGTAATTTGAATACATTGACTGTGCTGATAATTTCTGTGATAGAAAGAAGTGCTGGTGTTTCAGGATTCACTGGAAGGGCACCAAGGATGGGTGGAATTAGGGACTTACTTCCCCATTAGTTAAATAATAATAATAGCTAATACTTAAAATGGTGCTTACTATGCCCCTGGCATTGTTTAAAGCCTTTTAGATACATTAATTCATTTAATCCTCACAATAACTATGAGGCAGATACTATTCCCATTATATACAGAGAAAACAAAGTTAAGTTGCTTGCCAAAGAGAAAATAGCTAATAAGTGGCAGAGCCGAGATTCATATCCAGGCCTGGCTCCAGAGTATAAGTGAATCAGAAACTTGATGTGTGGTTGTAATAAAAACACGATATTTGCTTTCTCTCTTTTAAAAAGCCAAGGAGCCAAACTTTCTCACACAGTGGTATAAATCTTTTCATTATATTGTATAACTTTGAATACAACTGTGTGTGGAGAGGTTATTATGTTAGTCTAAGGTAAAAGCAGTAAGTGGTAGAGTTAGAATTCAAAATCTGGCAGTCTGGCTTCTGAATTCAGGCATTAGGTAAAGGAGAGAGAGATGGACAGTTTAAAAAAAAAAAACGTAACAAATCTTAAAGAATTTATTCCTTAATCATGAGGAGCCATGGGAGCCTTTGGGGCTTAACTAGCTCAGATTTGTGTGTTGAAAGGTCATCCTGGGCCAGTGCATGGAAGGGCTTGAAGGGGTCTGAGTAAGAAAGTATAAAACAATGGGTAGAAATGGATTAATGTTTTGACAAAACCCAGTGACCTTTGGATGTGAGAAATAAGTAAGAGATAGGAGTTACAAATAATTCCCTTCTTTCTGTCCTGGCAACTGGGAAAATGGCACTGTATGCTGTCTAAAATAGGGAATGGAGGGGCAGGATTTGAAGAAATAAGCATTGAGTTCCTGATGCCTGAAGGACATGCAGGTGGAGATGCCTCAGGCCTGAAGCTCAGAATGCTCTATAGGAGATAATAACTGAAACTTTAGGAACAGATTTAAAGCCACCTAGGAAGAGAGCAGAGTGAGAAGCAACCAAAGAATGCCAACATTTGAGAAATGGGCAAAGATAGAGCAATCCACATCATCTTGTTAGGCAAATGGGTATCAGTATAGAAAAGAAATGGCTTGGCACCATCCTGCATACTAAGTATTCAATACATTTAATATGGACAAAAATTAAATTAAAAAATCTTTAATATCACTAGAGAAAAACAGACTGGTATATTTAAGTGGCAGAGAACACATTCATTTATGGATATTTTTAAACCAGCTATCATGAGAGGTGTTTAAAATGCCTTTTAATGTACATAGTAAAAAGGAAAGCAAAAGAATCAAGGAATTTAGAGCAACCGGAACTCATACATGGATAATAAGAAAGCAAAATGGCACAACCATTTTGGAAAAGTTTGGTAGTTTCTTATTAGTTAAATATACACCTAGTTAAATATTGCACTCAGTCAATCCACTCCCAGGTATTTAAGAGACAAAAACTTATGTCCACACAAAAATATGTATGCAAATGTTTATAGGATATATTTTCCTTTTTTCATAATACATAATGAAATGTAATTATTCGTAACAGCCCCAAACCAGAAACAACCCAAATATCCTTCAGTGGGTGAGTGAATAAACAAACTTAGGTTTATTGGAATACTACTAAACAACAAAAAAGAATAAACTATTGATGACAATATGGATAAATTTCAAATGTATTATGCTAACTGAAAGAAGCCAGGCTGAAAAGGTTATATACTGTAGCATGCCCATCCATTTAGATGGCATTCTGGAGAAGGCAAAACTGTAGAGTCAGAAAGCAATTAGTGGATATCAGAGGTTAACGATGAGGGTGAGAGGATGTGGGAATATAAAGGGGCAGCATGAAGGAATTTGAAGTGGTTAAAGAACTGTTCTGTATCCTGATTTTGATTGACAGTGTATTTGTTAAATCACAAAACTATATATCTAAAAAGCAAAAATTTACATAAATTTTAAAAGTAAGATTAAGAAAAGAATTACAACTTGCTCTATAGATGTTGAAAATTTACCAAAAGTTTATAAAGGTTTAATAGAAATTAAAGTCAGTGATTAAATTCCGAAGGGGAGTGGTCAGAGAAGATCACAGAAAGGTTATATGCTTGGAAATGCAGACAACTTTAAGAAATGAGGAAATAAAATCTTTGCTAATGAAATGCAAAACAACTAAATTAGTTGAATTATATGGAATGATAAAACTCAACTAAGTACATTAATAAAAATGATGGCCCAGTGCTGAGACAACATATGGGATAAATGATAAAATTAGTTGAATTATATGGAATGATAAAACTCAACTAAGTACATTAATAAAAATGATGGCCCAGTGCTGAGACAACATATGGGAATATATTTTGGGGGTACTGAAAATTGGTTGAATCTTCTGGTAAAGCAGTCTGGAAAATGTTTACTCTCCTTGACCTGATGATCCCACATGAGGACAATCCATGCATGAGCCCGCTGCCCCTACTTTCTCATTTGCAGTGCTTTACTGGTACAGTTTCCCCACTTGCCTAGGGAGTAAACTACTACAATTCAACATGGGGGAAAAAAATAATAGTTTCTAACATTACCATAAAAATGTAACAAAATTGTATAGTTAAAAATAATATATACTCAAGGTAATTGTTTTCAAAACAAGTCTACTCCAGATGCTTTACTTGTTACAGAATAATGTAGTTAGGCCACCAACTCAATTATATGAGGAAATAACAAGTATCCCAAACCAGTAATTAGCGAATCGTTTGTTGACTTTTGGAATATACTATATAATGTTTTAAAAGATGCCTGACCAGTTATATTTTACCGATGCTTGATAACACTTTTTGTTTGGATTTACTGAATATTTACCAGTAGGGCAGTGAAAAGGAATGAACCTAAAATGATAAGTCTTCTGCAGATAGAAAAACAACTAAACAATTTTTACTAAAGTCAAATGTGTGCCATTTTTTCTTTCTGGATTGTTCGCTTTCAATTAATATTGAATTTAACTTTGTATGCATAACCACTAAGAGGAAGAAAAGCCAATTTGGCTTTTTTACTTATTTCAGCCATTTCACTCACAAGTAATTAACTGTATATAATTAAAAACTGGATTTTGATTAATTTTATTTGAACTTTAGCTTGTTAAGTTATTTACTATTTTAAAATATATGGATGTTCACAGACCACATTTTATGTTGTATAACAGTTTAAAACAGAATTTTACTAAGTGCTATAAAGTTAATAAGTTTTCCCTCTCTTATTCATAATCAGTCATAATTGGTCATGAAATGAATGGGAAAACATATCATTTCATATTTACATTATTGTATAAATGAGGAAAGATACAGAAACAAAGTTTCCAAGCTGAATTAGATAAACAGTATTATAGGAGTTACCATGACAAAATGTTTTTGGAACTTATTTTCCAGTTAAGAATAAAATTTGAGAATTCTTAGATAAAGATAATCTCAATCTGCTTTTCATTTAATATGGAGTTTAAATTATAAGTCAAGAACTTAGTATTTAAACTCCCTAAAAGAAGGTGGTAGGGAGTAAGAAAACTACCTACATTCCAATGATCAATGGTGATATGAATTGCCATGTTAATACTAAGAAGATTTTTTCATCTCTACATTATGCTAAGAAGGCGAATACACTAAGCAGCAGTTTTTAATGCCCTCAATTAAAAATGAAATAAAACAGACTTCTGGAACACCAGCAAATTATCTGTATTTCCAAAAGTATGGTATTGGCACAAAGATAGATACATAGATGGAATAGAATAGACCACCCAGAAATAAACCCACACGTGTATGTCAATTAACTTGCGATAAAGGAGCTAAGAATATACAATGGGGAAAGGATAGTGTCTTCAATAAATGATGTTGGGAAAACTGGACAGCCACGTGCAAAAGAATGAAACTGAACCACTAACATCATACACAAAAACTAAATCAAATGGATTAAAGACTTGAAGGTAAGACCTGAAATCCTACAAATCCTAAATGAAAATGTAGGGGGTAAGCTCCTTGGCATCACTCTTGGTGATGAATTTTTGGATTTGACACCAAACGCAAAGCAACAAAAGCAAAAATAAACAAGCGTGACTACTTTGAACTAAAAAGCCTCTGCACAGCAAAGGAAACCATCAATAAAATGAAAAGGTGAAAAAATAAATGAAAAGGCAACCCCTGCAATTTGAGAGAAAATATTTGTAAATCTGTTAAAGATTAATATCCAGAATATATAAAGAACTCATATAACTCAATAGGAAAAAACCAATCCTATTAAAAAATGGGCAGAGGATCTAAATAGACATTTTCCCAAAGAAGATACAGATGGATGAGAGGTATATGAAAAGGTGCTTAACATCACTAATCAGGGAAATGCAAATCAAACCACAATGAGATATCACCTCACACCAGTTAGAAGGGCTATATTAAAAAAGAAGAAATAACAAGTGATGAGGATGTGAAGAAAAGGGATCGCTCGTGCTCTATTGGTGGGAATATAAACTGGTGCAGCCACTATACAAAAGAGTATGGAGGTTCCTCAAAAGCTTACAAATAGAACTACTATATGACCTAGCTATTTCTGGGTATTTATCTGAAGGAAACAAAAACACTAACTTAAAAAGATATATGCACCCCTATGTTCACTGCAGCAATATTTTCAATATCCAAGACACAGAAGAAACCTAAGTGTCCATCAATGGATGAATGGATTGTTACTAATGTGACACACACACACACACACACACACACACACACACACAAATATTACTCAGCTATAAAAAAGAAATCTTGACATTTATGACAACATAGAGGATCTCAAGCACATTATTTTAAGTTAAATAAATCAGACAGAAAGACAATACTGTATAACCTCATTTACATGTGGAACCTAAAAAAAAAAATGACAAAAACTTGAACTCATGGATACAGAGAACAGACTGGTGGTTTCCCAAAGGCAGGAGGAGGTGGGGAAAATGAATGAAGGGGGTCAAAAGATAAAGAATTTCAGTTATAACAAATCCTGGGGATATAATATATAGCATGATAGCAATGGATAATAATACTGTATTATATATTTGCTAAAAGTAGATCTTAGAAGCTCTCATCATGAGAAATAAATTTTGTAACTATATATGGTGATAATGTTAACTATACTTATTGTGATCATTTTGCAATATATACAAATATCAAATCATTATTCTGTACACCAGAAACTAACGTTATATGTCAATCCTATCAATTTAAAAAAATAACACAGACTTATAAAACACCAGCAAATTGTATGTATTGCCAATTATGAGTTACCAAGTTAACTCATTAGGCAGATGACTCGGAATCCAACCCACAAAAAAGCATACTAAAAAGCTACACATGTAGAATTATATAAAAGGGAGTTTCACTGCTTTTCATAAATTCTAGAGTTAATTGCATTCATTATTCAACTTTAAATTGGAATTTGGTGGTGATAGGAAATGTTGGGAGGTCCATACACAAACAATTTAATAGTTGCAAGGCTAAGGAAAAGGGCTGGGAAAAGTAGTGGGCCGACCATCCTGATAACCAAAAGGGCTGTGACATCTCACCAAGGAGGCAGTGACCAGCCAAGGTTGGAAGTGCCCTATTCCGCAAAGGCCCCTGCAAATGAATCAGGTGAGGCTTTGATATGAGTCTAAGGATAATAATGCATTGAAGTTTAAACTAGCACTCTAAGGACATTTTAAACATCACTTTGAAATATAGATGTGATAGCATTCATCGGAAAATATGCATGAAAGTGTCAATTTTAGAAAACTTTGTTTCACTCATGGTAAAAACTCGTTAGTTTATTTAGTTTTGTTATAGTTTATTTTATTTATTTTATTATTTTTTAAACTTTAGTCCCCCTTATCCCCTTCCACCCCTGACCTAGGGAGGTTGCCATCTCCCCTTAAGAACTGAATCTCTGAAGGCGTGGGCATCTCCTGCCACGAGCTCTCAACGCATTGCCTGAGCCTGGTGGGCTCCCCATATGGGCCACTGGCACTCGAACCCAGGACCTTCTGCGTGTAAAGCAGCTGTGCTAACCATTATTCTGTGTAACTGGTCTAGCTTTGTTCTGTTTTAGATACTGAAATTAGTAAACCACACAAGAGCCTTTTTAAGTCTTCTATTTTTTCTAAAAGCTCTATATCTAGTTCTTCAATTACACGCTCATATTCTATAAATACTTCCTGTTTTTCTGATACTGTGTTTTGGTTGTATTAGGCTAAAACTAAATTAGTCTTGTAACTTTACTTGTCCTGCTGTTTAGATGTTTGGAGAAGGTAGGTCACATCACCTAGGCGCTTTCTCAGAGCTCAGCCACCTCTCCTGCCTACACTCACTCCCCAGCGCTCTTCCTGGTTAGCTACAAAGGCAGACCCGCCTCCAAATCCTCGTGGTCCCGGGGGTCCCTTTAAACAGTGGCGCAGACACCACCTCCCCCAGACAAGTATGATCTGTTATTCCTGGGCTCCTGTCGCTCGCCTTCTGCTTGGTTCATGGTTTGGAAGTCCAGCTGGGCCTGAAGAATTGCCTGGGGGTAATTGAGGCAAAAAGAGGTCAGACTCTATGAAGCAATTTAGTCGAAGTGACAAGTTGGGTCCCTCACGTCACTAGGTGTTATTTTCACCGTGCCTGTAACACTTGCTGTTCACCCGGCAGTCAGAAAAACAAAACCTCTGGTAGAAGCACCTCTCATCACGACTATCTCCGAAGTTGGACTCTGTTGATTAGCGTGGTGGGAACGTCCGAGGACCAGTGCCCAGACCAGCGGCTCTCCGACCCGGCTGCTCGTTAGTATCAAATGCTCCGGCCAACCCCAGACTGACTAAATCAGAACCCCAATCTGCCCGAGAGATTCCGATGCGCAAGCCAAGAACCCAGAAGCGCGTTCTCTATCCTGCTCGCCGCGGCTGGCGCGCGTCCCTACGGGGAATTAAATGGAGGCCCTGGCCTCGCCCCGAGTGTTGCAGTGTCACCCGGGGCCAGCTCACAAACGCGCAGGGGCGCGGCCTAGGCGAGGCGCCTGGCCGTTCGGGCCGCGGGCCCAGGGTCGCGTTAGTGCCAGGCGCCGGAGTCGCTGGATGCTCCGCAGCGCACGACCCCGGCTTGCGACCCGAGTCGCAGCCGCTGAGGACAGCTCCAGGTGATGAGATGCGCTGTGACTTCAGCGACCTTCTAAACCAAACCCAGGTTTTTCCCTCCTCCCATTTCACCTCAACATCTGCGGCTCTGCATATCTTCCCTCTTCTGCGTGCCCCAGGGGTCCCCACCTCTCGTGTGTGCGTCCCAGTTGCTTTCCCCTCTGTCGAGCGGTCTTTTTCCCACACTCTGAGCAACAATATGTCGATGTTGCACGGTATAAAAACGTCCTGTGGCTCCCTGAATGTCTACGTCTTTGAGATATGTAACAAATTACATTGAGTTATTGTTCAACTTTACTAATATTTACAGAAACAGAGTTGGGATCTACTTTTGCCTGTCAAATTGACAATATTTGTTTTTAAATGAGACTTTCAGTGCTTGTGAGGATGAGCGGAGACTTTCTCGTATACATTTTTAGAATTTTATTTAGGTATATGTATCAGCCATAAAAATGTTCACATGGGAATGGTTAAATTATTACTGGCACAACCTTCAATGGAATATTTTGCAGGCATAAAAGATAAACTTTTCAAATACTTGGTTTCAAGTTACCAAGTGTTAACTCCAAAGTATATTCTGTGATGATGGAAATGTTTGATATCTGAACTGTTTGATAAGGCAGTCACCAGCCATGCGTGGCTACTGAGCACTTGAAATGTGGCTACTTTAACAGGAGCTAAATTATAATTTAATTTAATTTAAATTTAAATAGTCACATGTGGCTAGTAACTACTGTCTTAGACAATGATACTACATAGTAAGTTTCCAATTTT